GGTCAGCCTTGCCTGGATAAGGTTCTTTCATGGATATTTAAGTGGACCCCATGAACTGTTATTTTTCCTAAATAGTGTTCCCCTCAAAATGAAGTGGAGTGGATAAGGGTCTGCAACGGATTTTGAGGGGAACCCTATACCATTTTTTTTCAAACAAAAGAAAGCTGACTGGGAACTGCTTTTTAGCAGCATGTGTATTTATTAAAGGAGAACTATGGGGTCAGTGTTTTTCCCCATAGTTCTCCTTAGGGTAACGGGAGGACACAAACTAGCGTCCTCCCGTTACCCTAAGCTCAGTATACCGCGAGCTACAGCTCGCGGTATACTGAGACGCCGCAGCCGGAGCGGATCCCGACTTAGATGATCCGCCCAGCTGCGTGAGTGACAGCTGGCTCTGCCTATCTAGAGGCAGAGCCAGCTGTACCCGCCCCCTCCCCCGTCCGTTCCGCCAGTCTGCGCTGGCAGATCGGAGCGGGAGAGGGGAATCCAGCCCCTCCCCGTCACGGCAGAGAGCTGTGACAGGATCGAGAGGTGAGGGAACCCGGTATGTGCTCGCTCACCTCCCGATCTACTGAGCCGACCTGTGACAGTCTCATTGTCACAGGTCGGCTAGAACTATGAGGTGAGTGAAAATCACTCACCTCATTCTTCTTTAATGTCAGTATTGTAGGAGTACAACGTACTGGTGTGCAACTTCACATGCAGGTTTAAGGTATGCCCCAAGCATGTTATATAAGATGTTTGTATATGTTTATTGTTGACCTTTATGTCGCATTAAGACCCACTTCAGAGTGAAGTCCCCGTTTACAGCTGGGCGTTTTGATGCTCAAAAGCTAAGCGCGACAAAACTCTCAACACAAGAAATCCCATTCATTTCAATGGACTCCTGTTCACACTTGAGAGTTTTGTCACAAGCTGTAAAACGGTGAATGGTAGAAAAAGTACATGTTTATTTTTGGCAGATTACAGCGCGTTTGGCCCCATAGATTTCACTGGAAATGCGCGACACAAGCGTTGTGCACATTTCTGTGCGCGTTTCGTCCAGTCGCTGCAATGTATTTCAATCTGCTTGCAAAAACGAGTGTCTCCATGTGCAAAAACAAGCTAAACACGCTAGATGAAACACTAGACAAAATGCTCGCTAATAAGCACGAAAAGGTGCGAACGGAGCCTTCGTTAATTTTCCTGGCTTTGTACGTTTACGTTACAATACTCTGCCATAAAATGCAATGATCTATTTCTTCCCACCACACGCCACTGTCAAGGCGTGAACTGGGACCAAGGAAATCAAGGCTTCTACAGATTGACTACTACACGGAGGTTCATTTGCCTTTGCCGCAGTTTCCACACATCAGTCCCATTCAGTGCCACGCAACAGTCGTTATTTCAGAGGGGGAAGTGTAGTAGAATAACAAGGCTCCATGTCTACACACTGCAGTAGAATCGGAGCACGACGAGCACGGGTCAAAAAATACAGCCCCACCACTTCCTGTCTCTCTGCCCTTCCCCCACCTACTTCAGCACATCCTCCAGTGTGTGTGTGATGTATTGCTTGTCAGTCCTGCAAGGGGTTACTACTACTACCATATGCCTACAGTCGTGGGCGTGGCCAACCTTCAGACCTTCCTACTCTGTGTACGACAGTGACGCCCACATTCAACCCCACCAGCCTGTCATTCTCCCTCCCCGTGACGTCACCATCATGGCAACAACAGCTGCGGCCGCTGCAGCCCGAGCCGTGATCGGAAGACTCGCGAGCCTGGCCCGGGGGGAGCGCAACACGGAGCGCGAGGACCGGCGCGGGGGCGCGCTCACAGCATGAGGCTCCCGGGGGCAGGCCGCGTGTGACCGGTTCCCTGCACGTGACACGGAGCTGAAAACAGTGAGACACGTCCAGTTCCAGAGAGAAGGGGATAGACGAGAGTCCATATATAGGAAAAGAATTCTCTTCACATTTCTATAGCAGAACTATACGTGTACATAGCTAATAGCGGACTAAAGCTGCCCTACAGTATAGAGTGATTATAATGCACAAAGACAGTATATGAGGCTTGTGGGGGGAGGGAAATGTAAACATATCCTCTATGTAGATCCAGTGAATGTAAGCACGTTTATTTTTAGCTCACACCTTCATGTGGCAGATTGTACAGGGCACGCACTGCTGAGGGTGACTTGAGCAAAATAACAGGGGTCTGGTGCCCCGGGGAGGGGGCTCAACCCCAGAAGATGTTCTCCCTGCGCCTGGTGACCGCGGATTATTATTTGGCTGCTCCACTTCCTGGCTTGGATGTCACGAAATCCCACTTCAGGGACTGCGATGTACGAAGAGTGCCTGTGGTTAGAGTGTTCGGAGCCACCCCTGCAGGTGAGAACTGTTGTCCTCTGGGCCATTGTCTTCTTGAAGAGTCGGGGCATATCAATTGGCTAAGGTTAAGTGTTCCTCAAGGGCATGGGCTGTACTAGGAAGTTGTGGGTTGTCTGTGACTGATGAAGCTTTTATAAATTGGGATATGGAAATGGAAGCACTGAAAGAAGAGGATGGGTTGTTTGGGATCCTAACGGGACCATACATTTGTTATTAAAAAGGTCAGCACATTTAGGGTTATCTGCTAGAGGGTATTTGGCTTGGTGATACAATGGGGTAATAAGGTATGTGTTGGTGTTGTGATAGGCCAAGGATTCTGCATGGGGCCACAAGAGATATTACAGCAAGTAGACTGATGGCTCACAGGGCAAGGAGAGACACTAGCATGAGTATAGAGTCAAGCCTCGTGGCTCACGGCGGGGCAAGGAGAGACACTAGCGTGAGTAGAGTCAAGCCTCGTGGCTCACGGCGGGGCAAGGAGAGACACTAGCGTGAGTAGAGTCAAGCCTCGTGGCTCACGGGGCAAAGAGAGACACTAGCGTGAGTAGAGTCAAGCCTCGTGGCTCACGGGCAAAGAGAGACACTAGCGTGAGTAGAGTCCAGCCTCGTGGCTCATGGGGCAAAGAGAGACACTAGCGTGAGTAGAGTCAAGCCTCGTGGCTCACGGGGCAAAGAGAGACACTAGCGTGAGTAGAGTCAAGCCTCGTGGCTCACGGCGGGGCAAGGAGAGACACTAGCGTGAGTAGAGTCAAGCCTCGTGGCTCACGGGGCAAAGAGAGACACTAGCGTGAGTAGAGTCAAGCCTCGTGGCTCACGGGGCAAAGAGAGACACTAGCGTGAGTAGAGTCAAGCCTCGTGGCTCACGGGGCAAGGAGAGACACCAGCGTGAGTAGAGTCAAGGCTCTGACTCATGGGGCAAGGAGAGACACTAGCGTGAGTAGAGTCAAGCCTAGTGGGACAAGGAGACCTAGCGTGAGCCTAGTGGGACAAGGAGAGTGAGTAGAGTCAAGCCTAATGGCTCACTAATCAATGAGACACTAGAGCGAGTAGAGTCAAGCCTGATGGCTCACAGGCCAAGGGGAGAGACTAGTGTGAGTAGAGTCAAGCCTAGTGGGACAAGGAGACCTAGCGTGAGTAGAGTCAAGCCTAGTGGGACAAGGAGAGTGAGTAGAGTCAAGCCTAATGGCTCACTAATCAATGAGACACTAGAGCAAGTAGAGTCTAGCCTAATGGGTCACAGGCCAATGAGAGACACTAGAGCAAGTAGAGTCTAGCCTAATGGGTCACAGGCCAAGGAGAGACACTAGAGCAAAATGAGTCAAGCCTAATGGCTCACAGGACAAGAAGAGACACTAGAGTGATTATAGTCAAGCCTAAAAATCTAATGGGGGCATGTAGACACACATTAGAGCAAGTGGCTACATGCCTTGTGGCTCATGGGAGCAAGAAGAGACATGCCTTGTGGCTCATGGGAGCAAGAAGAGACATGCCTTGTGGCTCATGGGAGCAAGAAGAGACATGCCTTGTGGATAATGGGAGCAAGAAGAGACATGCCTTGTGGCTCATGGGAGCAAGTAGAGACATGCCTTGTGGCTCATGGGAGCAAGGAGAGACACACTAGAGTAATTAGAAACATGCCTTATGGTTCATAGGGGCAAGGTGAGACATTCTGATTCAAGTAGAGTCATGCATTATGGCTCTTGTGGGCAAGGAGAGAGACACTAGTGCAAAGCCCAATGGTTCATGGGGATGGCTCAGCGAGACACTAGAGCAAGTACACTCAAGCCTAATGGCTCATGGGGCAAAGAGAGACATGCTAGACCAAGTTGAGTCAAGCCTAAAATCTCATGGGGCAAGTAGAGACATGTCTTGTGGCTCATGGCGTCAAGAAGACACACTAGAGCTAGGAAGAGTCATGCCTTATGGTTCATAGGAGCAAAGTGAGACACACTGATTCAAGTACCGTCATGCCTTATGGTTCATGTGGACAAGGAGAAACACGCTGATTCAAGTAGCGTCATGCCTTATGGTTCATGGGGACAAGGAGAGACACACTAGAGAAAATCCCTTTGAAACTGTGTGGGTTGGAGACAGGTATAATAGGCTTAAATCACAAAGCATTTATACAAGAATAGGAATATTTATTTTCCGTCACGTGACTATAATTTTCAAATCTAATTGGGCTTAGCTAAAAATAGCGGTCACATTTTAAAAAATACCCTGGTGTGTTAGTTTTGTGAATTGAAGCCAATGTATGGCTACCCTGTTTAAGTTGAGGGCACCAGGCCATGAGCTCAGTCTTTTTTTTTTTTTTGTAGTGTAAAAGATTGTGAGGCACAGCGTTTCTATCCAGACACAATGGCTCTACGGCTGTATACAGTATGAGACATACAGGGGCTGTCATAATCTAGTAGACATTCCCAGCGAGAGAGAGCATGTGATTTCCGACAGACCATGAGCGGGTTACTGGTTGACTGTGTAACTTGTGTGCTCAATGCAGTGGCTGTTCAGTAAAATCAATCGAGGTGGCTTGCTCAGCACTATGATGTATTGATAATTCTGTTTATGCATTTCATTTTTTTTAGATGTTCCATGACTATATGTACATTTCAGCCGTGCTCATGCTGTGGGAATTCACAAGAAAAGTTCTTTGTGAAGGGAAAAAAAATGGCTTTCTCTTTGTTGTGCATTGTCAATGATATCCTGTTTGTGTGTCTGTGATTGTGACCTGTCTTGTAGAGATGTAGACCCCTGCGTAACCTCTTTAATGACAGCACACAGGAGGACCAAAACATCTTTTGTATAGTTGCATTCGGGACTTGTTAAAAGCAGCGTAGGAAGGGTTTGGGGAACCTCAAATGACCTGCTGGGGAACGAGACGGTAGCTGCCTCTCGCATAGACGTGTTACCCAGAGGACAGCCAGGATTGCACCTCCCACACACAGTCATCACACTGCTAATGACCATGGTGTATGCTTGTGATCACCTGTAAACAGTGCAGGGGCCCTTTGCCATTTTTGTTCTGATTTCACTGGAAAAGATTTTGTTCCTCTCGGCCTTCTATCAAAAAATAACCCTCAACCTAAATTCATTGAGAAAGCTACTGCATTCATTTAAAATGAATTTATTAAAAAGGTTTACAAAGACTTTTCATATTTGTATATTTTAGTGGAAAATGTGAGGTTTATTTTTTTTACTTTACTAAATATAGAAAAGTGTATTTGGTAGCATTTTCATACAGTTGATATCATTGTGTGTTCCCTGATTACCCATCTAGATGTTTTGTTTGTCAGTTGATGCTGCTAATGTTGGAAGGGTTGGTGACCATTATTTAATGGGGGAACTATAGTTTGGGGGTAGAGGGGGCCATGAGCTTCTGCCATAATGTGCAAGGATGTACAATATACAGTACTTGTTTTTTTCAGTGCCTTTACCTGCAATTTTTGAAGTTGGTCACAGGGTCCCTATAAGTAAGCAGAGTGCATCCCTGAGCCAGCGTGCTCCCATTTTTGGTACAAATGTCGCTGTCTCAGGACTTCCATATACATATGCGCTTCCTTGTTTTTCTCCTAGCATTATGCTGACTACATTTGTCGGATGACGTCAAAGATTAAAGTTGTCTTCTTGATTTCTGACATGCCCTGTTCACACCTGAGCGTTTTGTGCGTTTCCCAAAGTGCGACAACGTTCAACATGAAGAATCCCATTATTTTCAGTGGTGCCCGTTCACACCTGAGCATTGTGTAGCTTGAGGCCCCATTCACATGTAGCGACTTACCGCGCGATTTCCGCCGCGATATCGCGAGAAGTCGCCGGCTAATGATAGTCAATGGAGCTGTCTTAGCTCCATGTCGCTCGTCGCGGTCGCTTCTACAGGACCCTTTTTTCAGCGGATTTTGCTTTTTTCTACGGAGCCCGACGGAGAAGGTCGTGCTACCGTCGCTGGAACGTCGCCCCGAAAGTCGCGCTATCCCGGCCGCTGCAAAGATATGTCGCTACATGTGAATGGGGCCTTAAGCTTGAAAAAGTATGACTCTTTTTTTTCAGGTGGAATTGAGTGGGTTTTTTTTTTTTTTCCCCCC